GAGAATTGCGAATTTTCTCGCCCATCCATCTCTATTCCTACTTGAGATTTGCGCAAGAATAGGCGCCGAAGTTAACTTCTCAACTGTCAGTTCTTGCACCAGTAGAACACTGGATTTATGTTGAGCTAAAAAGCGATCCTCTGTTTGGTTTGTCACTTTCATTCTCGAAGTCAAAACTTATCGTGAGCCCTTGCGTCGACAAGACACGTCTAGAAATTTCTAAACAACGCTTTTTTCACTTACAATGTATATATGAAGTTCATATATTTTGAACTGCGGTATTAAATACGTATGATGCACGATCCTCGCAGTAGAGAGCGCTATTTATGCAATAGCGAAAATCAGACCTGAAAAAAATCAGGCCTGTACGGGATTCGAACCACTGACCTCTGCGATACTAGTGCAGCGCTCTACCAATTGAGCTAACAAGCCAACTGGGAACAGGCCGTTAAGTTGATTCGTGATAAACCCGTGATGATAAATCAGATACAATATATAAATGAAGTTCATATATTTTGAACTGCGGTATTAAATACGTATGATGCACGATCCTCGCAGTAGTTAACGGCCTGTTCAACTTAACGGCCTGTTCCCAGTTGGCTTGTTAGCTCAATTGATAGAGTGCTGCACTAGTATCGCAGAGGTCAGAGGTTCGAATCCCGTACAGGCCTGATTTTTTTCAGGTGTGATTTTCGCTATTGCATAAATAGCGCTCTCTACTGCGAGGATCGTGCATCATACGTGTGTTATTATTATTTGTAATCAACTGGCATTTTTATTATTTGTAATCAACTAACATTGTAGCTTTTATTTTAACACTCAGTCGGGTAACTTGGCCAATATTTAGTCACCTTTAGGTCAAGCAAAATCAACTGATCAGCGATTACATTAACAAACTATCAGTGCAGTCTTACGAACAAATTATTTTCAATGTGACTTACCACCCAAATCGCAGCAACTCGTAAACTCGCTTAAATCAAAGGCCTCTGCAACTGCATAACAGCCTTGGAGTGAAGAGCTGTGCATAGCGCCCATGAAGCGTATCGTAGCTTCCTTGTTGTCATACAGACCTTTCCACAACTCCTCTGACGTCTTTCCAAATGTCCTTATCCACTGACTCTTACCTTCGCGAATCGCACTTGTTAGGTTGCAAAACATGGGAACAACTTTTTCGCGTTCCACCGTTATGAAATCTACCAAAGATTCGGGACTAGTCGAGGTTAGAAAGTCACTGGCAATCTTGGAATTGTTATACTGCCACGAACCATTTTGGTCTGTCTTTTCCAAAAGTTCCAAGCTAACAAGGCTGTCCAAAAGGCGTGTGGTAGCATCCAAGTTCGAAGACACGCGTTTCGATATGTCTTCAGCGAACAAAGGCGTTGATGATTTACTAAAAGTATCGAAGATTCCCAGATCGACCGCAGTAAACAACGCCTGTGACGCGCGATGCGCGTGGATTAATTTTCCGAACTTTTCAGGGACTGGAGAAAGCGAGTGGAAGTTCTTGCTTTGCGCCATCACAATCATTTTCGTGCGCTTGAACAGACTTAAAAAAGAGCAAGCAAACATGGCGTGGTGTGCCTCGTACCGAAGGATTGATAACCCGCACAAAGGATAAAACTGCCTTTTGGTGTAGAATGAAAGTGACCTCAGTATTTGACAACCAACTGGATTATGTACTTGTTCAACTCTGTTGTTTATGGGCGAATGAAATTTGCACTTTTAGATCTCAATTACTGGATCCAAGTGTGTATTAGTGCATTTAATTCTTATTACCATAAAATGTTAAAACAGCCTAGCAACTGCACATTATCCGCGGGTTCAGGTTGATTACCCTCGCCACCATGTGTCACGAAAGAACTGAAGTATGGTATGTTAGCCTCCCCCTCCTCGGCCCCCTTTACCGTCTCTAATAGGCCTCTCACAAATAATTTTTCACTCTCCAACATTGAATTTCGAGAAATTTTCGCTCATTTTCACAACCGTGGCCCTTAACACCGATTGGAGCGACTTCGCCTTTAGCCTCGTTCTCGCGCCCTAATTTCGGTACCAGATCACTAAACCGTGATAACTCGGTAATGGTCTAGTGCTTCTTCCAGAATGATTCAGTTTGTAAAACACTTGCGCTACAGCAATACACATTCATATAAATAAGCATTCTAGCTGTATGTCAATAGCAATTGATCTGCGACTACTTTTTTTCGTTTTCAATCCATAGAGATTTCTTATCACAGATTAGTCCAACTTTTACACCTGACTAAAGAACCTTTGAAAATCACCATAGTTTTTCAGTTTTGCGCGTATTCTATCTGTTGAAAGAGATTGTGTTTCTTCCTTACACACATAGTTTTATACTTTGTAAATGGAGTTTTACTTAGATCAAGAAGGAAAACAAAGTTCGGAAAAGTACAGGCCGAACGTCAAGAATCTTTTACTGAGAACCCTAAGTTCAAGAGTTTCCAAAATTAGAATTACTTATCTTCCAGAAAGATTGATTTCTCCGCATGCATCTTGTANCAATTACATCTCACTAATGCCAATTCAACTCGTTGCCACAACGTTATTTTAAGCGGCAGGTCACTGGAATAACGTCAGTTATCAACTTGTACAAACAATGCAGGTGTTAGCCTTTCTCCAGTTTAACAGTATGAAGTATGTGCTAAATTGTATGGGATGCAGATGTTGTTAAGTTTTTACATTACATTTCTGGAGACATTCACGGCCTTTAATCAATAACTTCTTGATCCATAATGCATTTATTCGAGTATTTATTAGCTATAAAGATGTGCTACGATCAAGTTTGCTACCAAGAAGAAAATTTGGTTGCTGAGACAACTCTGCAATCTCAACATACAGGGTGGGGTGGTTTTGCAACTAATAACTAAATAAACTCATAAAAGTTTCCACTTCAGATAACGAATTTCACAATTAAAAGATAGTAATTCACAGTTTTTGAGCAAACATGCCAAGGATGACTGTCAGGAACTTGGAGGTAAAATGATACGCAGAAATCAGAAATAATCCATTTTATGAAAAAAATCTATGACCCAATGCTTTTTCATCTCTTCTGCTTAACATGACTACAAAGTCACGTACCGCCAGCAGGTTGTCCTGCGGTGTTTGTTTAGTTTTATGCGCGCGCTCATACGAGTGACGCCTGACTGTTTTCTCTCCATTGTGTGTCGTCCATCTTGTTTCGCCGTGTATAAATAAAGCGTATTCGTTGTGTAGTTCGCGTTACTTACTGGCGTACAGCAATTGGTGAGAAGACCGTAATATTTTTTCTTGAATTTTTCTTGATACTTGTTCAGTTTTACACTCTTCAAAGTACTCCACACTTTGAAACTTTAGTACCTGGTGATAAAAAATGAAATATATATATTTTTTAATTTAAGTGCAAAGAAGAAAAGCAAGGGTATCATTACAGGTGTAACTACTAAGATAGAATTTAAATTATATGGGGAAAAGGAGTTTCTTATTGAGTCTGGATACTTATTGTTATTTTGATGTTCAAGTAAACAAGATCCAAACAAAGGGAGAACACTTTTTCTGGTTAAGTCAGTCAGGAAAAGACATTTAAAGTATAGAGTACATTAAAATGAGGTAATAACCAAACAGATTCACTCAAAGTTTGATACTAGTAACAAAAACATCAAACAACTTAAATAAGTTAATTATTACCTCATTTACCCAGCTAGTCCAGTATGGAGTTAGATTACAAGCAAACATCTCCAGACAGAATGAATCAGGTGGCACATACTTAGAAAATATTTCTGATTTAAAAAAAAACAACAACAACAAAAAACAAAAACAAGTTTACATTAATTATAGGTTAGAACTGATATACTGTATGTGGTTACTGTTCAGGAAAACTTATGAAATTGTCTACTTTGTAAATATTAGGAAACAAGGCTGTGCTCTAAGAAAAATTGAAGAGAGCCCAGTGCTCAGAAACTGTGAAATCAAGGGTGCTCAGAAAAAACTAAGATTCCTGGGTCACCCAAGAACAAATGTTAGG